ACGTCTCAATCTTATTTTCAAAGCATTCTAGCTAGACTTTTTTGAAAAAATACACCTAGCAAAGTAAAAAATTTTCACCTGAGCGGACCAAGCAGAGAGAGCGGGCAGACCTTAGGTGAAAAAAAAAGGCTATCATGGTGTAAAAAAATCAGAATAGCATGCCTTTTTTCTCACTAGATTCGAAAAAAAAAAGCTAGGCTTTCTCGGTGATAGCTTCAAAGGGGGTTTTGTCCACTGACAGCTTTAGATGCAATTTATCAATTTTCATCTGGATTAAATCATCAGTATTAGCCTTATCCCAAAGCCTATTAATATACTGGGTTACATAATAACTATTAGCATGCTTTCTATAAAGGCCAGGTTCAGAGCTAGTCGGCTTACCACAAACCTTACAGGAAAAGCGAGGTTTAGCTTTCCAATGTTCAAAACACCCTTCAGGTCGATGATAAGTTCACCTACAGATGTATCCAGTCATGAGTAAATAATTGCAATAATATTCACCTATCATGCTTTCTTGTTGTTTCAAAACTGCGAAGTGATTTTATAAACCAAAGGATAAGTTTATATAATAAAAAAATACATTATATTAACTATTTCTTCTGAAGGTCTTGACCAAAGGAGGGGAAATAAATATTTTATTTTAAACGAAAGTTTTTGCTATATTAATACAAACATTCAATACTTATACAAAATGATTAACTATAAAGATATCGAATCAGCATTAGTTGAGGTAATTAAAGTGGCATATAGCCAAGATATGAAAAAATATGATAAAATGGGATTGACATATGTGGGCTATTTGAAAACAATAAAACGTAAAAGGGACCCAGATGATCATTGCAGATATGTAACAAAGCAACGAGCTCCAAATGAGGAAATTTATAATGAGAAAATGGCGGATTTCAAAGACTGGTATAATGAAGAAGTGTATCAGAATCTTAAAAAAATATATAAATTATATTTCTTATTCGCAAACCAAGAAGAGGTTATACAAAAAAGGTCTACAGAAGAAGTAAACAAAATA